ACCCACAACCTTCCGATTAGGGGATGACCCGCTCTGCTGCTGCACCACAGCCACCCCCGACTGATCAATTCAGTCCGATAACATCTGGAAAGTCTAGAAGAGCTGTATGATGAAATCATTTTATTCTCATTCAAGTTTGCGGAGGGCTAAACTGAAAGTTAGCAGCTTGTTAACAGCCCCTAGTGTATTGACATGTTTAAACACTTGGGTGTGTGGGTTCATTTTTGCAAAATGATTAAAAATACAGCAAAAATACAACTAACATGCATACATGTTAACTGTAAGAAGTGTGACACTGCAGCAGCTGCAACAAATGCATTGTACTGCAACCAAGCTAATTTGTTTCTTGTATATTCCATGAATGATGAGGTGAAACATTTTTCCTTCAGTCATGTAACATATTTTTACACTTTCTGAATGATAGTTGAGATAGTTTACATGTATTTTTTATTCCTGTTAACTCTACTGCAATCTTATTTCGGTTTAGTGTACTTGAGCAGCAATATAACTTTGAGACATCTGCCAAAAGTAAAAAATAATGGTCAATCAGTATGTATTGATAAAGCATCAGTATTAATAAAGTCATATAGTGGTTGAGTGTATGTAAAACAGCACAGCTCACCTCCTGTAGGTGCTCACGAATGTGCTGATAGACAGTCTGGATTTTCCTCGCCTCTATGATCTTTATCTTCATCTTGTCAAGGTTGTTCTCCAGTTCTCTTATACGCTAACATCAGAAAATAAAGAAAAAAGTTATGGCCTGTGATTAATGATGCCATAGTAGGATAATATATGCTTAAACTTGAAATGTGAATGAACTCATTCAGCATTAGCTGTCCTTGTCCATGAAGTAAGAATTGACACTAGAGCTCATGTTCCCAGAGATATGAGTAGCTGGCCCATTTTTTTTTAGACAAACTAGGAGGTCAACAGTTCAAGGGGTTCCACAGTGGGCAGAATTTAATATACTGCATATTATGCCCCATCTTTTTCCAAATGTCATTTAACTGGCATCTAGTGTGTCAGAAAGGAAAACCACTGTGAAGAACTAAGGGTACTTTAACTGAAGAAATTGCACTTTGAAAGGTCAACAAAAAGTATTGTTAATGCTGACAGAAAGCTGATCTGCTATTTTACAGATCCATCGACAAATCAGTCCTGACCTCAGTGATTTGTTGGTCTGGGAACATAAATGTGTGAGTGTGGGCCTGGGCAGGTGCTCACGCAGGTATGTTAAAAAATGCATTTGACACTTGACAGGTGAGATTAGTTAATTACGTGAGTAACCCCTTCATATTGTGTATATTATAGTTGATAGTGCAAACCCTGAAAACACCTTTTTTCTGCTGATGGGCATTTATTAGTGTGTTGATTGATTCAGGTCCAAATGTTGACATTTTAGTGCAAAGTATTTGAATTCGACATATTGTGCTATAAATATGCAGTGACCTTCCTCTACTGGTTATTGAGCTATTGAGATAGAATTTCTCTATTGGCTGATCTGAAAGCAGGTGACGTATGTGGTGGCAGCTTTCATCACAAACGTAGCCATAGCCTTACACTTCTCGGAGCCACTAGTTTAGCTAATGTTACAACACAGGTACCACACAGAAACATTTACAAATGACCACTGGTGACTGACAAAGCTCTAGCAGACTCTCCGTGTTTCCAGCACAGACATAGAGAGTCTGATAGCAGCTGGTGGCTGGTTAGCTCTGTTAACTCTGACTACTGGCAGCTGTACTCCTGCTACACTGAGCAGTAGTCAGACAGGTTGGCATTACCTCCTGCATTACACACTCCATAGCCACAAGGATACCCCCTCTATTTGATTTTCTCTGCTGGATTTAAAAAATAATAATTGGGAAGGAGGGAGGGAACTAGCTCAATTTAGGAGTTTAGTTATACTTTAATGATGGGTCAAATGGTTATGTGTAGAGTGAAAGGTGTCATGATATTTCATATGTCAAATGCTGCCCCCAAGTGGGAAAAAGAACGCAGATTTGAGTATTTTATACCGGAGTTAATGTTATTGTTGTTTTGGGAGATGGTGACTGTGGATGCATCCTAAATGCCCTAAATGTCCCTGGGTGGACCCTTACCTGCTTTAATGTGTCTTCACTATTGTAAGTTGTAGGTGCAAGGTTCTTTGCTTCCAAAAACTCCTGCAGTTCTTTCAGCTTAGCTTCTTTTTCCTTCACAGCAAACGTTAGTCTGTTGTGCTCATTGATCAGGACATGCCTTCTCTGTTTCTCAAGTTCATTTTTTTTCTGAAAACAAAAGCAGAATACATTTATCATCCTCATTTTAAATGACAAATGCCAATAAAAAAAAAATAGAAAACAACCATCAACATGTATAACATGGTGCTAGTGTGGATTAATGTCTTGCTAAAGACATCAAGCTATACCTCCAGAGATAGTCCAGGCTTGGACAGTGGCTTTTGTCGTTTGTCATGGCTGTCCAAGACCTGTTTTGCTGCACTGTCCTGTGCTTCAGTCTGTGTCTCTGGAAGTGAAAAAGGAGCTCTACTGAGACTTTTTTAGCATTTATTTAGCAGTGTATTCATAAAGCTTAGCCCTTGAATATCCCCCCCAACCTCCCAACTAGGCAGACTGTGTGGCTGTATGGTGGACATTATTTATGGAAGTTTTATACTTTAACACTAGTGCCATGTATTTTCTGCAATGACTGTAAGATTATTAACATTTAACCTATACAGTGTATGCTCTTAGCTAAAGCATTGCCCACCCACACAAGGTTAGACACAGTGGTGGATTGTAACTCACATATAAGGTTACAGTACATGTACATACATACATCAGGGTAATTTTTTTGCAGCAGGAAGTGACTTTTTTGGCTTTATGCAACACTGAGCAGCTTTCAAAGAAAGAACAAATTGAAGCAGACTTACAATGTGTTGGAAGTATAGCCGTTTTCAAGTTTGGGCACGAGCTGAACTATAATTCAAAACATATCTACCAAAACATTAAACATATTTGAACAAAAGTAGCATCGCTAAAACTGTAACCAGTTCTCTTTATACATCCATGATAAAAACAGCTCATTCTAAAGTAACAAAAAGACAATAATTCTAATATTATACACTAATAAAAACATACCTATGAATAATATATTTTACTTTTGACAATAGATCCTCCTAAATGTTACACTATAGCCAGCCAGTAGAAGTTATTCTTATGTGAAGCAGCGCAAGGTTACAGGTGATTTCTATATTTATTCTGTCTTGTATTGATGCAGGCTTTAAGTGTTTTCTTAATTTACTATAATAATCAGAGAGGAAGCTTTTAGTCATTTTGGACGTTTCCATGGGCGCGGTAATGTCACTGCAGCAAATATCATTAAAAACCATAACGTAAAAACTGTTGACAGAGAAACTCTCCAGAGGAAACAGAGGATTTATCAGGAGGAGGGCTGTTTTACTCTACAATTTCCCTGCATGAACCTGAACTGTGTGTGGGAACTTCTGGAGGTGTAAAAAACCACAACAAATAACATTAACATTAGATCGCGTCAACGATTTAAATAATCAATGAAGCTGCTGTGCCTTGTATGTAAATGCGCACACCGTCTCTCTTAATGGGGAGAAACCTCACACTAATTCAGCCACCCTCAATCCATCCGTTATCAATCACAATGTTATCAGAATTTTAATAACCCGGCTGTCAGATTGATCTCAGTGCTGCAGATTAACTGCGATCTGCACATCACTATAATGCAGGTTGTTATTCATGTGCAGGTGTTTGTTTGTTTTGTCACAGCTGCTGCTGTGAGTCTCTATTAATATTAGTACAGTTCACATGTGTGCTGACACAAATAATAATATATATATATATATTATATAAATAATATAATATGTAATATTCATAGTTATGTTTTCATCAGTATATAGTCATCTGAATATAAGAATCGTTGTTTTTGTTTTTATTAGAATGAGACGTTTTTATCTACTGGTGCAACGGGTTGCCTTCCATGGAGTCTGCCATGTTGAACCACAATGTTTCTACAGTAGCCCAGAACCAGTACTGGGCAGTACCTCATTAATAGTAATAATATTACAGCTATAATATTAACGTACCTTTCCTAGTAACTATAGTAGTGTTACTAATTGCTAATACATTTCAGTAATAATATTACCCCCCAAAACATTACATTAATTACATTACTTTTTTTGTCACCCCCTACTGATTTGAAATCCAACAGTCCAATCACATCCTTGGATTCATTTTTGTAATCGTGAAGGAAACTAACTTAGTTTTGGAAGACATTCAGCAGCTGCAAATATTCCATTACTTTGATTTGCACAAACAAAACTGGATTTGAATCGTCCTAAATTCGAATTTTAGTGTGAATGAGGACAAATACCAATTTTGTGGGGAGTAAAAAATACTAAAAGTAATAATATTAGTATTTTTGCTTTTTTTTGTTTTTGTTTAGTAACTAGCCCAACATTGCCCAGAAAGGACAAACCAAACACTGGCTGTATAGAGGGGCATGGGAGGGTAAAGCGAGGGAGTTGCAATCTGCAACTACACCGCTAGATGCCACTAAATCTACATACTGGTCCTTTAAACTAAAGCCTTAAAACAGGCTGCTGGTTATGCCAACTAGTTTAGCTATAACTAACTTTTCAAATAGCCTACCTGAGGTTTTGATTCGATGTGGTGTTGAAGTCGTTGCATCTTTCATCTTTGTAGAGGAAGTATAATTCATTTTTATTTGTAAACAACTATCTAGCAGTTACCTGTAAGCTTACTTGAGTTAATTAAGTAACATTAAGCCAAATTTTATTTAAATGTGTTCCAAATTCTGGTAGCTACTTCAAATGATTCAGTTTCAGTTTTCCTTAGTTACTGTTGCTACACCAGATTTTTTCCATTCTACAGCACATAGTATGTCGCTTTCCGCAACGACTGACCTTAAAGGAGAATGAGTAGGTTATTCCTAAAAAACAATAAAGACTCATACAAGAATAATCCCGCTCAATTGTCACTTATGACACACCACAAATGTGTGGTAGTGTCTGTATCTGCAGAGACCCTGTTCTCTACCTTTTTTTTACATATTTTGCAGTGTTTGTGACATTATTGGGCGCCAGTGGGTTTGTAGCCCTCAGCCAATAACAGCACAGAGGGTGTGAGAGTCTGGGAGGAGGGGCTAACTTTGAATGTGTTTAAAACCTGCAACTGACAAATTCTACTCATTCTGCCTTAAATCCACATGAAACATAAAGCAGAGTGTTATTTGCTTCCTCATATTTATGTGTTTCCAGTACAAACAGGCAGCTAGGGAGGAATTTGTTGCAGACCGCGGTACTGTAACATTATTCCCTGTTGGTATCAGTGGCTGTGTTCGACCCCCGTCCAGCTGCTGATCCTGGTTCTGTTACCCGTGAATGACAGATACAGTTAGCAGCAGTTAATTAACAGATTTAGCAACTTTAGCAAGAGGTTAAAGCTATCTGTCTATCAGAAAACTGTGTAAATAACCTCGGTACCATAACATTATACCCTTACAGTATAGTTGTGCTTTTGTACAGTAATAGTGAGGCCCAGCCATAGATTTCTGTAATACATTGGCCCTCAGAAACACTCCACTCCGGTGGTGTCGTAAGAGCGAAAGCATTTCACTGGACACAACATACGCCACTGAGTGGAGGATGAGTCATCAGGAATGCCACTAAGAATACCTGAAAATACCTATAAAATGACTTTTGTGTCATTGTTGGGCCAGACTGGAGTACAGGTGATGTATAGCACAAGGCATGTGTGATAAAAACTTAACATCAATTTTGAATTTTGAGGATTTTAAGGGAGATTAGCTAACATTGTCGGTAGAATACTCCCATTATGCACATAGCTTCAGCATTACCCACCCATACATACCATCTTATTTGATCCCTAATGATACGTTTAGTTACAGTTTATGCCTGTATAATACAGCTACAGTAATGTTCCTGAAAGTACATTTGTTTGTGATGGGTTTTGGGATAAGCTTTCATTTTACAGCACACATGCAATGATAACTGTCACAGATTTACCATGAAAATTCTAAATTTTTTAAACAATGGGTCAAGGGGTAGACAAAAGCAGTCTTCCCATTTCTAACTGATGAGCATACATTTTTCCAAATCTGATCTTGGTTTTGATCCAGCCATTCTTAGAAGTTCATGTTTTTGTCTTGGAGAAATTATATCTCTTTTCAACTGTATTTTTTTATGGTTGGAATGGTAAATGCCAAGATGGAGACGGCCAGAGCCGACCACACTAAGCTTCACAATGGCTCTTCAGAAACCATGGGTGACATCACGGAGACTACGTACATTTTTCATAACACAGTCTATGCATGTAACTGATTAAAAAATTATGTCATAAGTATTCTTAAAACATGTGTCACACAGTGTCAGAAATCAGCCATAATTAATTACCCTAAATGTGACCATAATTCACAAAATGAACATCATGCTGCATGGAAGACGACTTTAGACGATTGAGACCATAAACTCATTAGGCAACGATTTACTAAGCTAGTAAATCAAGTGAGAAGTAGCCTCAATTTTCTTAATACTCAGTTCTATTTGACTTTTTTGCAACCAACAGAGCAGCGTCCTGCGGGCTATTTTAAAGAATGCACGTTTAAGACATTCTTGGTTGACTTCACTTTACAGACCCGGAAGCTCCGTCCACTAAGTATATACTGTCAATGGTCTGTAGACAATTAAATGGTGTTACAAACACACAGTTTAAGTTCATTCAACAGAGTTTTCAGTTTTCATATGAGAGAACATTACAGTGACCTGTGGTTCAAGTTTTTTCTGTGTATTGAACCCCGTCTCAAATTTATTAAATAAAGTAAAAGAGTATAAGTCGATGCCCAAAACAAGTGCAATCACAAAATCAAATCATTGTAACAGGAAGAAAATGAATGAAAACAAAAAAATGGATTAGGGGGTTTGCCAATGATAATAGGCAAAATCCTGTAGGCTTTATTTATTTTAGTTTCTAAAGGTCTAAGTTGAATTTATTGTATTAGTTTGTGTCCTGATGGCCGGAAATGGTAACCTTTCTGGTTTTCGGAACATATTCATAAGAAGTTCATACAGATAAAAGCAACTTGTCCTGTTAGAATGTGGAAGGTCGCTGTAAGTTGCAGGTGGAGTTTTGTTGTCCCTTTTTCACTGGTAACCCAGTCCATGTCGACTGAAGTGGCAAAAGAGAGGGATGGTGATAGACAGACAAATAAACTGTAAACAAAGAAGACAAGAAAAATATAGTTTCACCAATAATAAACACTGTTTCTCCAAGACACAAAATAACATAACGTGTAAAAGCAGGAACAGGAAACTGACAGAGAATATAATGTACGTTGTTCTGGCTTTAAACTACAGATAAGCAAAACAAATGCTCTGCAAATGTGACATCTCAAAACTGCTCTTATCAATATTTTATATTACCAATTAATCGACTTATGCAAGGGTTTGTGTACTGACAAACCCATAGAGGATTATTACCGAACATCTGGCAGGTCCCCTCATTTATACAGAATATTTTAGCTCCTTGCAGCTGACTATTTTGATTTTACGCAACAAAACGTACTGTGGTTTGGTTCACTCTAACTGCTCTAATCAACATTATTTGACAAAAAGCTTTGAGAAACCTATCATCACAAAACAGCAAAGTTAACATAGAGAACATAGTGGAACATTTAGCAGGCAAAGAGACATTTAGGAGATATTTTCTCAGGGGTTGGTGGGGACCAAAACCAGAGCTAAAAGGAGATTAACTGTTTGCTAACAAATTTTCCATATCAACTTTATATGGTGATAATATGCCATTGTTTACAGCTTGTTCCACTGCCTCCAAGTAGACCAAAAGGCAATGATGGCTAGTAGTGCTTAGCTAGCTGGCTTAATATTAAGCGTTCCAGTCCACAAACAGAACTTAAATTAACCATGCCTATTAAGCTGTTGAGACAGCCAAAAGCAGTTTTATCTGTTGCTGTATAAAGCTCACAGACTCCAAAATGGCAACCATTGTTACTACATCAAAAATTCAGTACTGAATCTCAGAGCAGTAACCTGCAGCTCCACTGCTCTCTGTCAGTTTGAAGTACCAGTGTGTAGGATTTAGTAGCGTCTAACAGTTAAATGGAAGATTGTAAACAATTGAATACAGCTTAGCCTTTCAAGCATGTAGGTGAAAGTATGGTGGCTGCCAAAGTTGCGAAAAATGGGAAAGGCCCTATCTAGAGCCAATTCAATTCAATTCAATTCAAGCCAGTGTTTGGTTTATCCGTTCTGGACTACTGTAGAAAC